GGGGGGGGGGGGGGAAGGCTTCAGGTTATAAAAAAAGAGGTAGAGAAGCCCCTACAAGCTGGTTTCGTCAAAAGAGTTGATTACTGCGAATGGGTGGCTAACCTGGTATTGGTCAAGAAGGCCAATGGTAAATGACGAATGTGCATCGACTACACAAATCTCAACCAAGCTTGTCCCAAGGACTGCTATCCGATTCTAAGCATTGACAAACTAGTTGAAGCGGCTTCTAGAAATGAGAGATTAAGTCTCTTGGACGCATATTCTGGTTACCACCAAGTGCCGATGGCTCCAGAAGATGAAGAGAAAACCTCATTTTATATGGGTGATGAAATTTACTGCTATGTTATGATGCCCTTTGGCTTAAAAAACGCAGGTGCCACTTACCAAAAAATGGTGACCATCGTCTTCCGAGCTCAGATCGGCAAGAATCTGGAAGTTTATGTCGATGACATTGTGGTAAAGAGCCTGAAAGCAAAAGACCACCTAGCTGATCTCGATGAAACATTCAACAACCTCAAGAAGAACAGAATGCAATTAAATGCAGCCAAATGCATCTTCGGTGTGGAGTCTGGGAAATTTCTAGGCTTCATGGTTTCATGGAAAGGGATTGAAGTTAACCTAGAAAAGATTAGAGCAATTTTCGAGATGAAACTGCCGAAGTCGGTGAAAGATATACAGAGATTAACTAGAAGGGTGGCAGCTCTTCATAGATTCATATTGAAGTCAGCAGATAAGTGCCTGCCATTCTTCAAGATCATGAGGTCAGCAGCCTAGAAGGATGAATTTGACAAACAAAAGAAGTTTGAATGGAACCAAGAATGTCAAGCTGCATTCGATGAGCTGAAGTCTTATTTTAGCTCCCCACCTCTACTAACTAAGGCTATAGATGGAGAAATTCTCTATTTGTACCTCGGAATTTCAGACGAAGCAATTAGTTCCGTTCTGGTGAGAAAAGAAGCCAAATAGCAAAAACCAATCTATTATATCAGCAACGTGTTGCACGGCGCAAAACTAAGGTATCTTATTGCCAAGAAAGCAGCATTAGCAGTTGTCACTTCAGCTAGAAAGCTGAGGTCATATTTCCAGTCACATCCAATTATCATCCTCATAGACCAACCTCTTCGACAGATCTTGCAAAATTCGGAGTGCTCGGGAAGGTTAATTAAGTGGGCAGTAGAATTAGGGGAATTCGAGATAACATTTCAATAGAGGTCTGCGATCCGAGCTCAAGCACTGGCGGATTTCATCGTGGAATGCACCCCATGTCACTCAATTCCTAACTACGAGCCAAGTGACTGGACCTTATATGTTGATGGAGCATCTAGTAGCAAGGATTCAGGAGCTGGTGCTTTCTTAATTGGCCTAGATGGATACCGAAGTGAGCATGCTCTGAAGTTTAACTTCAATGCAACAAACAACATGGCTGAGTATGAAACCCTGCTACTTGGTTTGCAACTAGCATTGGAGCTGAAAGTCATGGCGATACAAGTATACAGTGACTCGCAGCTTGTGGTTAATCAAGTTAACTCAATCTGCGAAGTTGTTGATCCTGTGATGATGAAATATGTAGCCCTGGTGGCCGAGTTGAAATGCAAATTCTAGAAATTTTGTCTGAACAAAATTCCCTGAACTGAGAATGACAAGCAGACTCCCTTTCTAAGTTTGCCTCTGATAGCTCTTTACGCACCATATCAGTTTTCATGGAAGTTTTAGATGAACCAAGCTTTATGAAGCCACGAATGATGGAGATCAGCACATACCCAGATACACCGAGCTGGACAGGCCCAATCATCTCCTTTTTACAAGACGGGACAGTGCCTGAAGACAAACAAGAGGCAATGAGGTTGAGGAGGAAAGCGTCTCGATATAAACTCGTCGATGGGGTCCTTTATAAGAGATCTTTCTCACTCCTTTTTCTACGATGCTTAAATCCCTATGAAGCTGAGTACGCACTTTGGGAGGTGCATGAAGGTGTTTGTAGGAGCCACACTAGTGCTAGAGCCCTGGCTCACAAAGTCCTTAGGCACGGATATTACTGGCCGAATATATATAAAGATGCTACTCACTTTGTTTAGAGATGCCCAAAGTACCAATTCTTCACACATTTGACTCACCAACCAGCAGAAGAGCTCACGAACTTGGTAGCACCGTGATCATTTGCTCAGTGGGGACTTGATCTTTTGGGCCCATTCATGAAAGGGGTTGGAGGTGTAACCCATCTGATTGTTAGGGTTGATTATTTTACGAAATGGGTTGAAACTCGACCATTATCCAGTCTTACCTGTAGAAAGGTTGAAGACTTTGTTTTTGGCTCGATTATTTGCATATATGGGATCCCGAAATAGATTGTGGCCGACAATGGTACTCAGTTTAACTACTCTTCCTTCCGAGATTTCTGCTCCAGTTACGGAATCAAACTACAGTTCACCTCAATTTATCATCCAAAATCCAATGGTATGGTAGAATCTGTTAATAAAGCTATCTTAGAAGAAATAAAGCCGAGGTTGGAGCAGCACAAGGCCAGGTGGGCAGACGAGCTCAACAACGTCCTTTGGGCATATAGAACTACGAGCCGAACTGCCACATGTACTATTTCCAACCCAAGATACTTTCATTCTATTTTTATTTTCTCACCTGTGGCTTTACCCTAAATCAAATATGCATAATATGTAAAACATATTCTAAAGATTATAATTTCATGAAATAAATGAAACACCCTATCACCTGGCCTTTGATACCAAAGTAGTCATTCCTATTGAAATAGGAGTCCCAAGCTTTAGGGTAACCCATTTCGATGAAGGACGAAATGGACAATTGTTTCGAGGAAACCTTGATCTGCTTGCCAAAGTCAGAGAAGAAGCACGACTTTGAACCCTAGTATATAAGCAGAAATTAGCCAACTTCTACAACAAACGAGTTTGCCCTCGAACATTCAAAGTATGAGATTTTGTTCTCAGAAAGGCTGGCCTAACAGGATTTGAAACTCGTTTTGGCTTAACTGTAGCAGTTACTTTTTTACAACCCGTATTTATTGTACATGTCTTTCGACAGACAACTGTCACGCCACGCACTAACCTTATGTTAGACCTCTTTAACGGGCCCCACTAAGCCTAGTTCAATACTTTTATTTCCTTTCATAATAAAATTTTTCAACTTTACGAGTGTTTCACCTCGGCTCCGGCCATAATGACTCCGTGTCACATAGTTTACCTCGGCTCCGGTCATAGTGACTTCGTGTCACATATTTTGCCTCAGCTCTGGCCATAGTGACTTCGTGTCACATATTTTACCTTGGCTCTGGCCATAGTGACTCCGTGTCACATATTTTACCTCGACTCCAGCCATAGTGACTCCGTGTCACATATTTTACTTTGGCTCTGGCCACTATGACTCCGGTCATTACTTTTTACTTCAGCTTCAACCACTATGACTCCGGTCATTACTTTTTACTTCGGCTCCGGCGACTATGACTCTGGTCATTACTTTTTGCTACGACTTCGGCCACTATGACTCCGGTCATTACTTTTTACTACAGGCCACTATGACTCCGGTCATTACTTTTTGCTACGGTTCCAACCACTATGACTGCGGTTATCACTTTTTTCTACGGCTCTAGCTGCGCTGACTCCGGTCATCATTTTCACTTCGGCTCCGACCACAATCATTTCGGTCACATTTTATTTTGAGAATGGCCAAAATGACCCCATGTCACATATTCCATTATTAATTACGACCATACTAGAATTTGGATTACCAATTTTTAACTTCTGTAACTCATCTTTAATATTTTCATTCCTCTTTTTATCTATTTATGCACTACTCTCGTTATCTCTAACAATATCATTCATAAGTGAATGAGTTCGAGGGGGGAATAGTGTAAGGATAGGTTTGAGGTTAAGAACCTCGGATAGACTATAACAATTCCTTAATAGTCGAAGTTAAGTTAAATCCACCACTTCCCGGTCAAATGGCTACATGATAAATACAGTGGACATGCCCACACTTGATCTATCATACACAATTTCTCGGTCCCGAATTTACCGCCTTAAGGGACACGTCACACTCCGATTATCCTGTTAAATAAGCCACATGGATACCTTACTAAGGCCTATAAATACCCCCAAAGGACCACCTTAGAAAGGTAATTGAAACATACTTAAAGCTCCTCTTTAATTATTTTTAAAAGATAGATTCGATTATTGCTGACTTAAGTATTGAAGTGTTTATCCTGAGGACCCACCTCAGAGTTTTGCAGGTTCATTCGAAGTGAAAACGCGGACTGAAGAAAAGAGAAATGGATCTAGCTAGTCTTTTTTTTCATCTTCTCATGGACTCCAATCAACTCATAAAATTGGGAAATTTGGTCGGACGTGCCCAGGAGCACCCCATGAAATTTTAAAAATCTGTTTTGCTGCTTTGTTTAGTGCGATTCATAAGCCGTCGCCATTACACAATCGGTTGCGTTCATCTCTGCACAATTGATTGAATTTGATTGCTGCATTTATGTTTGAATTTTGCAATCTAAAGCTCTCAGCTTTCATTCGTCGGTAGAAAGTTTCGTGCTTGCGCTCTGTTTGATACTGTTTTCTTTTTAAGCCACTCGTTTTTTTTCCCTTTATTTAATAGTTGGTGGAAATCAATGAAAAATTAAATTCTTTTGTTGTTTTGCATGTATCATCATTTCAACTGAATTGCTTCTTGGGATTAGTTCAGGGAAAGATTCAAATAATATTATTAGTTGTTCATTTTTTTTTTTTTTTGATACAGTGTGTTCGTCAATTCTAAATCAGGAAAAGAAGTTGAGAAGAACTGTTGAGTTGATCGGTTAAATGGGAACTCGACTGGATTTTCTCAGTTACCTCGGTTCTGACATGTGGGTGAAGATTTTCACACGTTTGGATGATCCGTCTGATATTGTGCGTGTTAGCTGTGTCTCTCGAGAGTGGCGAGATTTTGGTGAGTTATTAACAACTGCAAATGTACATATGATAAAGGGACTGAATTGTAGCCTGTTCAAAATATTGGGAAATTTATTGGGTAATGTTTTGAGTTTGAATATGAAACAAGTACGGAAGAGATAATGCAATTTGATTTTAATGTCACTTCCGAAGATCGGCAGATTAATAAAAAATAATAATGCATTCTCTTGTTGTGATTTATTAATGGTCATTGCAACTCAATAGAGTTGTCGATGAATTACACTCTTAATCAATGGTTAAATCTTACTAAAAATAAAGTACAAACTTAACTTTTAATTGTTAACTTTTAATTATTGTCCTTATAAAAAATAATAATAATAATAATATTCGAAAACTGTGGGCCAGACAGCTGCCCCTTGTGTCTAGAAGAGCAGAAATTTTGGGTTCTTTACGGGTTAATGTCAACTATCTTTTTACTATTGAAATTAATTTAATATTCTGAAAGCAACCAGACAATTAGTAGAGAACCCGTTTGAAGCGGAGCTAGGGTTTGCAAAGAAGAAGAAAGCAGAGGAAGCCATTGGAAGGGGGAAAAGGAAGAGACTGCGAAATTAATTTAATATTAAACCTTATATTATTGATTCACCTCATGTCTACTTTTATTTATCTTCACATGTCCTCTTCTAGTATTCAAAACCATACTTCTAGTATTCAAAACCATATTAATGTCGTCCCTCCGTCTATTTTGGGGCTAACAAACTGTCTATTGACTGTTAAATTGCAAACGGAGGGACGTTT